TATTAAATTAGTGAAGAAAATTACGACTTTATATTATAAAAATTTAATAACTTCCACGTTTTAAGACCGTTCTGATTCGCATTTAAGTACACAAGTAGAGTTAATACAGATAATAATAATAATAATAATCTCTGAAAGATGTTTGAATTCAAATGGCTTAAAAGGCTTCTCCTAAATTACGTGTCAGTGTTAAATATATATTTTTAAAAAATGTTTAAAAATGCACCTACATCATGTTCATCAACTGTCATATCACCTCTGCCATCTCCACTGCCAGATAGCTATAAAATATAAAAATGTCCATTTATTTTTCTAATTACAATTTATTTTTTAAATAAAAATTAAACGATTAGATATAACGATTATGTACTTTAAAACTGTGTAAAAAATTACTTTTTACGAATCTTACAAGTAAAAATGGATCTTTTTAAAAATGTTTATAGTCATTTTCTATAATAAAGCTCTGTTCCTATTGATAATTGAATCAGTTTTAATCTATAACAGTCATCACTATCATTAGAATTATCGCTAATTTTATTTCTTTAAATAATAATAATAATAATAATAAACACAATTTTTATCTTAATTTTTAATATAAAATTGTTTCAATTAATTAAGCAAGTTTAAAAATTTCGTATAAATAAAGTCTATGAATTATCTTAATAGTGACTAAGTGATAAGAATTTTACGACTAAACGAATCGAATCTGATTTACAAATTATTATATATGACTTTTAGGGACTTAATTACAATCCTTTAATTTTATCTTTGTTATAACTATTAATTTTCATATCATAAGCGATGCTTTACATATACAAATACTGTTAATACAGAGGGATGCAAAAGTAAATATACAGTTGTTATTATGAAAATACATGAAGAAAAATATTTATTTTTATGCATAAATTAAATCACAAATAAGGAATAAGATTATAATAATAATGAACACCAAACATCTGTATTTCTTATATTCAAAACTGTATATTTGCATCCTTGTGTATCATCGTTTTATTTACAAATATTAACACTTCTTTTATGACGAATTACATCACTCGATTGTTTTAACTGCACGCAGGGAATTACTTTGACCTATAAGTTTTGGAAGAAATGAGTGAAAATTTGGGCCTAAAGTCAAAAATTCAACTTTACAGATATAAAACACATCCTATAATAGTAGCAGAAAAGCATTATTTTCGTATTCCCAGATTGTTATAGAAACTGTCGTAGTAGTCATGCCAGAGGACAAAGAACTAAAAATATCATTCACTCAAAACAACAATGATGTAACATAATCAATGAATACTTAAGTACTATTATCATTTGTGGGAAAATTTCCCTAATATGTCTTTTCAATTTTGTAATTTTCTGTGTACTTTATTACATTTCCGTTTTCCAAATAATGAGTGATACATATTGAAAAAAAAAAGATATTTTTCATTAAAAAAAATTTAAGAAGTATTTCATAACGCTTCATAAAATTTACTGAAATCGAAATTTTATTTTCTGTAGGAAGGAAAAATAATCACTTCTTTATAATTCTGAATAAACTTCTATTATTATGAAGTGTAATTTCTTACAAACACTTACCATAAAATTACAAAAATTCAAAATATAAAAAATGAAAAATGAAAAGAGAAATATTCATTTGATTGTTATTTTTAAATAATTAACACTTCAATATTTGAATGCTGAAATTGTATTGGATTTTCTCCCTCTTCATGTTTTTATTCGGGTGAAGGCAAGAAAGATTAATTATAGACTCAAATATACAAGTAACTATGCTTTAAATCTAATTTTCGACTAATATATATATATATTAGTCGAACTCTCAAACTTATAACTGATCTGGTTTACATACAAAGTTCTAAATTGTTAGTGGCACTAGTGCTGGAATCTGTAAAAGATGTTCAAACAGAAGTACAGAAGTTACAAAGCGCCATTAACATGTAAGTTGAATTTATGTAATGTTCAAAACAAAAGTATTTGCTATCATTTGATACGCTTATAAATTTTAAACGGATCAAATTAAAATAACAATTGGCCTGCATTGAAAGATGACACCTTTCGTTACACTTTTGTATTTGTTTTGAGATTGCTCTACTTGAAATTCAGAACAGAAATAAGAAAGCGCATAGGCCTATTCTTTTTTAGAATCATCCAGTAAGTAGAACTGTTAGCTAAATCTAAATAAGTTCATTCTAATCATCTTAAGCCATTAGAAGAAAGCTCCTAGTCCAAAACATAGCAAGGTCGTTTTGTTTTGTTTACCTGCTCACAGAGCCAAAGAACTTCTTCTTTTTAAAGCAGGAATTAGATTAGCTCTTTAGCCACGTTGCTACAGGTTTGTATAATATATAAATATATATAAATTCTCTTTCAATTAACCTGTGAGTGCGTAACGTTAGCAGACTTACGCCCAATTCCCATTTGTGGAAAAATACTTTAAAAAATTATGAAGGAAACAAAAAACGAAGATATTTTCAGTTTTTGAGTACAAAAAAAGTAATAGAAAATCGAATTTTTAGCTTTTTTATTGCCGAGGAAAACTTTCGAGAAAGGCATAAAACAAAAGAAATTGAGCATTACACATTGAGCAACAGAGAACAATTACTCATCGATCATTGTACTATCCATTCTGCAATCTAATGCTATTTTAATGCGAAAACAAAATAATAGATATTATCCCCTGTCTGCAAATAAGATAATCTTTTTGGAAACAGGACCTACGTTTAAAATGAAATTTTATATGGTTGACCTTAAAAATTATTTTCAAGGTCACTCGTGTTATGAGTAAATATAAAATTTTAAAAAATGCCGTTTAATTATTCTAAAATCATTTTCTGGATTCTCGCAATTTTTCGGCCAATAGAAACTACAATAAGAATTGCTCAGATGACATTTCATTTTGTTTGAAATATGAGGTTATCTGTCAATTTTTCATTGGAGATATCGTACATTTCTTTATATAAATCAAGTTTGTTAAAATGATTTTGTGTGGGGATACATTTTTCAGGTTAAGACAGGTTAGTTCTTGCCTCCATTATAGGTAATTGATTACCTTAATATCACCTGTAAATCGATATTGTTGAAATTATATACACTGTATTTTAAAAATAACAATAATAGAAAACAAATACTCTTTTAAATAAAGTGACTGTGTTAATAGCGTCAATAAAAACGTTAAAGTTGGAACTAATGCAATTGGAGCAGTACATCAATTTCGCTCAGGATCAAACGAGTATTGTTTGGCAAGCGTATTGTGAATACAGCATTCATTTGTCTCGTTTATTGTTTCCAGAGACAATTTATAATGAAAAACTCCATTGAACTGATTTTTCCATTCTGACAGTTTTTGCTAAAATTTTATTTTAAAAGCTACATCAAATTTAATAAATTTATGAATATTAAATTTCATTTCTTTCGTACCTATAGGAGCAGGGCGCTTTATAATTAAAAATATTTTCGTTAAACTTGGTTTAGTAATTATAAAATCATAGTTTATACTTATTGCTGTCAAGTATAGTTCGACATTTTTCGTTTCCATTATTTTAAAAGATTTCATTCGACATTCCTAATTAATTTCTTAAAATAGTTTTGCCACGAAACAACATCGAATTTTCAATAATGACAATTGAATTTTTTGCGACTATATCAGTGGCGTATTATCCTATAAGCAAAAAGGGCAATTGCCTGGGGGGTCCCCACCAAACCAATCTTTTATAAGAAAATATTTTCCCCAAAAATTCCCCAGAGGAAAAATGTCACTATACATTGGGAATCCCTAATTCAAATTCGCATGGGCCCCATGAGCCCCACTGCTATATTCTTTCAATAGAAAGAAATTGAAGCTGAGACCAGATTGTTGGATATAACAGAGAAGGCAATTATTGACCTAACCCAACCTAAATATGCAAGATAAACTTTAAAAATAGAAGTTCAAAATTAACATATAAAAATTCAAAATTAAACAAAAATATTGTTTCAAAAAAGGAAAGTTGTATTTTAAAAAAATGAATTTAATTTCTCTCAAAGATTATGCAAGACAAAGCTTATATAAACAAACGAGAGCAATATTTATGAATTGTTTTGCCCACTTTGTGCGTTAAAAAAATTTTCATTAATCAAATAAAATTCGAATGAATTCAACGCTTCATTTTCCAAAAATATTATGCAGTTTGTACTGACGGAGAGGGAAGGAATGTTATTACTTTGTACATAAACAAAAATTATAAAGCCCTTATTCTAGTTTGCTGGCAAGTCTAAGAAACGAATAGGTGTATTTTTTAATTTTTTTCTTTATAACTAACCCCCATAATGCTATATTTATCACAATACTTTATAACCGATTATATACATAAAAATTTATTTGAAAAATTTTCAAAATACTGTATGTAAGAAACACACAAAATGTTCTCTCCTATTTCTCTAATATTACGAACAAAATTTTAGAAATAATATTTAATAATTATGACGAGAAACGAAGCAAACAAACATTCTGAGTTGTTTTTTTAATAGTAAAAACTGTAGCAATTTAGATGTAGATATCATTGAAACGCCTTTGTTCCAACGTACGTTCTACTTTTAGTAAGAACAGCAGACACTTTACATTTAGGATATCACCTATTTAAAGAATGCCGACAACGGTGGCTACTCAGACAAGTTCCAAAAAGAAGTGTAAACGCTTCATTGTTTAACTCTTCCGCAAACAACTCGATACAAAAATTTGTTAAATGTAAACTTAAGATTTGATATATAACACAACCAATGTAAACATCCTTTATTTGCAATCAATTCGTTCGAGTGCAATGTAGATATTTGCAATCATAATTAATAGACTACTCCGATAGTAAAATATTTTAAAATTCGCAGTCACAAATTTAATAATAAATATTTAATTTTTAAATTATATGAATGTTTGTTGTTGCAAATATATACTTTATATTCGTCGTATAAAAATTTGGAAGTGTTTTCTCTACTGTTTTATAATGAATAATCAAAGAATAATTTGATACAGTATATTTAGAGGGATGCATGACGAGTATATAAACAATAAAAAATCAACCGAATCAATCGAAATATCGAAGAAAATTTACTTTTCGATTAGTTTAATGATTCAGTAGTATTTATGGACAGTTTATATAATCACGCATCTATAATATATAAACTATATATATAGAAAAGTTAGTTGCTATTATACTGTATTTCTATTAAATATTGTAGATGAATTTTCGAATTATTCATTATCATTTGAAAGCTGTAATCTGTAGTAATAATTATTCATATAAAGATATT